TGAGACCATCCTGGCCAACATGGTGAAACCCCATCTCTACTAAAAATACAAAAATTAGTGGGCATGGTGGTGAGCACCTGTAATCCCAGCTACTCAGGAGGCTGAGGCAGGAGAATCACTTGAACCCAGGAGGTGGAGGTTGCAGTGAGCCAAGACCGTGCCATTGCACTCTAGCCTGGGTGACTGAGCAAGACTCTGTCTCAAAAAAAAAAAAAGAAAGAAAAACAACCCTATAAGGTAAGTAGCCTATTTTATAGAGTTTGGAAGGGACTGAGAGAAGTGACTTGCTTAAGAGCACACTTAAGCAAGTGTGGGGAGCTGCAGACTCAGCAGTTGAACCTTGGTTTTTCTGGCTTTAGCATCCCTAACTTTTAGCTATTACATAATCCTGGGCCTGGAAAGAAGGGCAGGAGGTGTTGGGCCAGGAAATGTGGACATGTGGTGCATGCTGGGGGCAAGGAGTCAGCAGGACCAGGCTTTGTTCTTTTTGCTCTGCAGAGGGCCTTCTCTGCTTCTCCATACACGTGGCAGCAAGTGGCTGTCTCCAGCTTTGAGTCCTGTGCCTAAACCTGACTCTCTGGCACCAACTGCAAACTGGCAGCCCTGTAGGCCAAATATGATGTAAAAAAAAATATTCTTAGCCTGTGGCATTTACAAAAATGAATTAGTGCCCCAAATTCAAAAATTGGGAAATCTCACACAAAAATCTGGAAAATCAGAATATCTGACAAGTCTGGGCCCATATTCCCATGGCAACCATCTGCTACAGCAGAGACGCAGCTGCTACCTTTAGCCGAGGCGCACACTTTCCATTTGCCACAATCGCTGCCATTCCTGTTGTCTCTTACTGGGCTGTTTCACTCATGATCATTACTGTTGTGACCCCTGGGAGTGTTTGAACTAGAGTCCCTGTGTCCCAGTTTCAGAGTCCCAGGAGATAGTATTCAGCCCAGTGTGAGTCAGATGGGCACCTCTGGTTCAAAACACTGTGGCAATAGCAGGGCAGGCGTCAGTGAGGTCAGCAAGAGTGTAAGGGCACCTCTTCACCAAGGCCTGTGGGCAAAGATGGGGTCTCAGGAAAGGGAGTCGACATGGGCAGACACTTGAAAAAGAGTTTAGTACAAAGAGAAAAGAAATTGAGGCTGACAGCCCCCTTATGAGACATGTAATAATAGGCCCATGCGGTGGCTCAAGCCTGTTATCCCAGCACTTTGGGAGCCTGAGGTAGGAAGATCAGATCAAAACCAGCCTGGGCAACATGGTGAAACCCCATCTCTACAAAAAATAACAAAAATTAGCCAGGCATAGTGGCATTGGCCTGTAGTCCCAGCTAGTTGGTTTGCTGAGGTGGGAGAATCATCTGGGCTTGGGAAGTCAAGGCTGCAGTGAGCCGTGATCAGCCATTGCACTCCAGCCCGGGTGACCGGAGTGAGACGCTGTCTCAAGAAAAACAAAAAACAGGCCAGGCGCAGTGGCTCACACTAGTAATCCTAGCACTTGGGGAGGCCAAGGTGGGCAATTCTAGACTAGCTTGGCCAGCATGGTGAAACCTCATCTCTACTAAAAATACAAAAATTAGCCAGGCGTGGTGGCGTACATCTGTAATTCAGCTACTCAGGTGGTTGAGGCATGAGAATGGCTTGAACCCAGGAGGCAGAGGTTGCAGTGAGCCGAGATCACACCAGTGTACTCCAGTCTGGGCGACAGAGCAAGACTCTGTCTCAAAAAAAAAAAGAAGAAAGAAAAAGAAAACAACCAAAAAATGTATGAATCCAGGCTTCAGATCATGATGAGGCCCTAAACTGAAGCAGAAACAGTGGAGACAGGCCAGGTGTGGTGGCTCACACCTGTAATCCCAGTACTTTGGAAAACTGAGGCAAGAGGATCACTTGAGCCCAGGAGTTCAAGACTAGCCTGGGCAACATGGTGAAAACCCATCTTTATAAATAATATAAAAATTAGCTGGGAATGGTGGCAAGTACCTGTAGTTCCAGCTACTTGGAGGGCTGAGGTGGGAGGATCATCTGAGCCCAGGAGGTTGAGGCTGCAGTGAGCTGTGATTGCGCCACTGCACTCCAGCCTGGGTGACAGAGCAAGACTGTATTTAAAAAAAAAAAAAAGAAGAAAAGAAAGGAAAAAAGAAACAGTGGAGACAGAGGGGAGAGGGGAGGTTTATTTATAAGATATTGAGAACACAGTGGTTGGTGGCCTGGGCTGGGCAGAGGCAAGAGAGACATTTGAGCTTCTGGCTTGGGTAACAGGGTAAAAGGTGGTGTCATTCATCAAGATTGGGAACCTAGGAGGAGGAGCAGGTTTGAGGGGAGATAAAGAGTTCAGTTTTGGCCTTGTTGAGCTTGCTGTGCCTGGCAGTGTGCAAGTGGAGCTGCTTGACAAGGCGGGTGGCTCTTTGGGGGAAGATCTGTGGTTTAGATACGATCTGGGAAGTCACCAGCAAAGAAGCAGAAGTTGAAGACACAGGCACAGCTTAAATGCAGAAGGGAGCATGAGGGGTAGGAAGGGAAGAAGGCTAAGAGTAGAACCATGAGAAGTGACATTTAAGGGCTGGAGTGTGGCCAGCCACAAAGGAAGAGAGAAGGAGGAGGAGAACCAGGGGTCTGTGGCCTTGCAGAAGCTCAGGAAGGACAGTTAAGGAAGAAAGTGGTCAGGGCTGGGCATGGGGGCTCATGCCTATAATCCCACCACTTTGGGAGGCTGAGGTAAGAGGATCACTTGTGGCCAGGAGTTTGAGACCGGCCTGGCAACATAGTGAGACCCCATTTCTACTAAAAAAAAAATAAATACAAAAGAAAAGAGTCTGGGCACAGTAACACATGCCTGTAATCCCAACACTTTGGGAGGCTGAGGCAGGCGGATCACTTGAGGGCAGGAGTCTGAGACCAGCCTGGCCAACGTGTTGCAACCTCATCTCTAGTAAAAGTACAAAAATTAGGCAGGCATGGTGGTGCGTGCCTGTAATTCCAGCTATTCAGGAGGCTAAGACAGGAGAATTGCTTGCAACCAGGTGGTGGAGGTTGCAGCGAGCCGAGATCTTGTCACTGTACTGAGCAACAGAGTAAGACCCCCTCTCAAAAGACAAACAGGCCTGGCATGGTGGCTCATGCCTGTAATCCCAGCACTTTGGGAGGCTGAGGCGGGCGAATCACAAGGTCAAGAGCTCAAGACCAGCCTGGCCAATAATGGTGACACCCCGTCTCTACTAAAAATACAAAAATTAGCCAGGCATGGTGGCGCATGCCTGTAGTCCCAGCTACTAAGGAGACTGAGGCAGAAGAATCCCTTGAACCCAGGAGGCGGAGGCTGCAGCGAGCCAAGATCTCGCCACTGCACTCCAGCCTGGGCGACAGAGCAAGACTCTGTCTCAAAAAACAAACAAACAAACCTGTAATCCCTTGGGAGGCCAAGGCGGGTGGATCACAAGTTCAGGAGATAGAAACCGTCCTGGCCAACATGATGAAACCCCATCTCTACTAAAAATACAAAAAAATTAGCTGGGCGTGGTGGCGCACGCCTGCAGTCCCAGCTACTCCGGAGGCTGAGGCAGGAGAATTGCTTGAATCCAGGAGGCAGAGATTGCAGTGAGTTGAGATTGCTTCACTGTACTACAGCCTGGGGGACAGAGCAAGAATTGGTTTCAAAAAAAAAAAAAAAAAGAAAAGAGAGTAGTCAACAGCTCTGAGGGTTTACAGAAGGCAAGTAGGAAAGGCGTGGGCCGGGCATGGTGGTTCACACCTGTAATCCCAGCACTTTGGGAGGCCGAGGCGGGTGGATCACTTGAAGTCAGGAGTTCAAGACCAGCCTAGTCAACATGGTGAAACCCAGTCTCTACTAAATATACAAAATTTAGTAGGGCGTGGTGGTGGGCGCCTGTAATCTCAGCTACTCAGGACGCTGACGCAGGAGAATCACTTGAACCTAGGAGGTAGAGGTTACAGTGAGCTGAGATTGTGCCACTGCACTCCAGACTGGGCAATAAGAGTGAAACATCGTCTCAAAAAAAAAAAAAAAAAAAATTGTATAAAAAAAAGAAAGAAATGCCTGGAAAAAGTCTTTGGATTTGGTGATGAAGAGATCATCAGTGAGTGTGATGAGAGACAGTTCAGTGGCCAGACAGAAGTCAGATGACAGGGACTGAGAAATGAGTGAGCAGGGGAGGAAGGGTTTCACTCTCCTGAGGCCTGGGATTTGGAGGAAAGGAGAGAGTTTGCCCAAAGGCAAAAAGTTTGTGTCAAACAAGACTCCAGGGAAAGGCCTGGCTGCTGTCTAGAGACCTAGGTGTAGCTAAGGCCTTATTTTGGGTTCAGGAGGGCCTGGGAAGATGTTGTCTTGTTTGTGAACCTGAAGTGAAAGCTCACCAGCGGGGCCAGCAGAGGGAATTGCCCTGAGAGAGGGCCCCAGCTTTGCAGCTGGGTTTTCCCCACTCTGCATCTAGTTTCCTTGATCCGCTGATTATCTTGGGCTGGTTTTGCTGAATGACTCAGGAGCTTGAGCAAGCTTTGCTACTCAGTTTCACAGCTCTGGGGGAGGGGAAGTTGGATTCCTTTCCGATAGCTGGGAAACAGTCATTAGATACTGAAGGAAGAAGGACAATTGGGCCCCAGCTTGGTGGGGGGTGGTTGGTGAATGCTCTCCAAGCCTTTATTCTTAATAAAAATAACAACATCTAACAGTTATTGAGTGCTTTTACCATTGCCAGGCAATGCTCTAAGGGCCTACCGGCTTTGTCTCTGGGGTGGACAACTCGTTATTATCCTTGTTTGACATAAGGAAGTTGAGAGTTGGGTGAAATGACTTGCCTGGGGCATCCAGCCAGTCACTGGAAGAGCTGAGACTTGACTGCCAAAAGCCCATGTCCCTAACCTCTTAGGACCTCTCCAGGTGACCCAGCAAGGCCTGTGGGACTAAGGAGGGGCCTCCCAAAAGAAGATCCTAGGCAAATGGCTGGAAAACAAGTCCTTAAAAAGAAGCTTCTCCCCTGCTAGGATTTCTGCTGAGAAGGAAGGGACAAGATCCCCTGAGCTTGTTCTGAGGCTCCTTATCACCTGAGATCCCCTTCTGTGACTCCCTTCCCCGACCCCAGCTTAAATAAAGGGCCTATTCACGGCCTCCCAGAGCTGTGTCTGGAACTGGGCCCTGGTAGCAGCCAGTGGTTTGTCCTGTGTCATGCCTCCCTCCTCCCTGCCTGCCTTCCTTCCCTGCCCCTCTCTCTGTGTTCGACACCTGGTATCTCTTTCCCATGTCCCTGAGCCTAGGGCACGTGAGGCCCAGGCAGGCACAGTATCACTTTCTTCCTGAACTGTCCCTGAAGCAGGGACAACTTTGTGTGCTGTCTGCCCACCATGCTGTTGTCAGTGCACACTTCCAAGGGTTCCTGTGGAATCCGCTCCCGTAAACACCCAAAGAGGAGGAAGTGAGCCAAGCACTAAGCCTGTGATTGCATCAGACTGACGCACTCTCTGCCTTTTCCCCTACCTCGGTCTCCAGGGGAGCCACGTGGGCAGTCCACTGGGTCAGGCTCAAGCCCTCTCCCCTTCACCCAGCTGAGGGGAAAAGGAGGATGCTGTGGAAGGAACACAGGCCTCCAGCTACACCTCCTTGGCCTGCAAGGGAAGTAGCCAACATTTGAAAGCTGAAGAGAAGGCAAAGGTGGGGTGGGCTGAGGAAAGGGTCCAAAAAGGCTGGAAAGTAAAGTTTTTGGAGTGTCAGCCAGGCGCCAGGCTCTCTACCTGTAACACTAATAATAATAGGTTGGGTGCAGTGGCTCACATCTGTAATTCCAGCAGTTGGGGAAGCAGAGGCGAGAGGATGGCTTAAGGCCAGGAGTTTGAGACCAGCCTGGAACGAAAAAAAGAAAGAAATTTAAAGAAATAATAACAACAGGCCAGGCGCGTGGCTTACGCCTGTAATCCCAACACTTTGGGAGGCCGAGGTGGGAGGATCACAAGGTCAGGAGTTCGAGATCAGCCTGGCCAATATGGTGAAACCCTGTCTCTACTAAAAATACAAAAAGTTAGCGGGACGTGGTGGTGTGTACCTGTAATCCCAACTACTCAGGAGGCTGAGACAGAATAATTGCTTGAACCTGGGAGACGGAGGTTGCAGTGAGCAAAGTTCGCACCACTGCACTCTAGCCTGGGTGACAGAGTGAGACTCCACCTCAAAACAAACAAACAAATAAAAACAACAATAAAATCTGACTATGAGGCTCTGGATCAGGAATTACATTTCTGTATTTAAAAGCAGCTACCATGGGGGCCAGGTGTGGTGGCTCATGCCTGTAATCCTAGCACTTTGGGAGGCCGAGGTGGGTGGATCACCTGAGGTCAGGAGTTTGAGACCAGCTTGCCAACATGGTGAGACCAGCCTGCCAACATGGTGAAACCCCATCTCTACTAAAAATACAAAAAATTAGCCAGCGGGGTGGCAAGTGCCTGTAGTCCTAGCTACTCGAGAGGCTGAGGCTGGAGAATTGCTTAAACCTGGGAAGTGGAGGTTGCAGTGAGCCGAGATCGTGCCACTGCACTCCAGCCTGGGCGACAGAGGGAGACTCAGTCTCAAAACAAAACAAAACAACAACAAAAAAGCAGCTACCATTTTATTGTATGCTGGTGCTATGTGGTTTACATACATATATACTCTTTTCTAAGTCTAGAAACACCCTTATGAGTTATGATTATGATGATCCTTTCACAAAGTAAGGAAACTGAGACTCAGAGAGATGAAAGTTCAGAATTCTCCCAGTCACTCAGCTGGGCATTGGAGAGTTAGGGTGTGGTGGATTTAGGTGTGTCTGCTCTTTGCTTCATCATTATGTATTAATTGATGTCATTTTCTCAATAAGAGTAATGCAGTTACTATTAGCTTTGATTTACAGATGGGTAAACTGAGGCTCGGGAAAGTGAACAGACTTGCCTGAGGTCAGAGTACAAGTCGCAATGCGTCTCACCCTTAAGTTTGATGCCCTTATGCTTAGATTTTATGGGCTTGCTTGTAAGAGTCCTTCTCAATGCAGCTGGGCTTCACAGTTTCCTCGGTCCCCAAGAGGTGACAGAAGCAGCACCTGCCCCAGGGAAGTAAATTCTCATCCTGGCTTCTGATCATCTCCTGAGCCAAATTTCCCCCTGTACTGCTGGCTCTCCGGGGGGCAACTCCAGCTCTTCACAGCCATTTCTGGTATTTGCTTGTGCCTGACCCAGAACAGGGGTTGTTTTTGTGTTTGCTTGTTTGTTTTTGAGACAGAATCTCGCCCAGAAGGTGTGCAGGCTGAAAAGCTAAGAGGCTCAGAAGTCCCAGACTTTTGGATGTCATCAATAGTTACAAGTTTTAAAAATGAGGAAGGAGACCCAGATATGGTTGCTAGCTTTTAGTTTGGCTAATAGAACATTAAAACTTTCACCTGGGGGCCAGGCGCTGTGGCTCAAGCCTGTAATCACAGCACTTTGGGAGGCCGAGGCGGACGGATCACGAGGTCAAGAGATCGAGACCATCCTGGCCAACATGGTGAAACCCCATCTCTACTAAAAATACAAACATTAGCTGGGCGTGGTGGCGTGCACCTGTAGTCCCAGCTACTCGGGAGGCTGAGGCAGGCGAATTGCTTGAACCCAGGAGGCGGAGGTTGCAGTGAGCCAAGATTGTGCCACTGCACTCCAGCCTAGTGCCTTGCAGCAGACTGAGACTTCTGTCTCAAAAAAAAAAAAAAAAAAAACTTTCACCTGGCTGGGCATGGTGGCTCACGCCTGTAATCCTAGCACTTTGGGAGGCTGAGGCGGGTGGATCACGAGGTAAGGAGTTTGAGACCAGCCTGGCCAAGATGATTAAACCTGAAAATACAAAAATTAGCCGGGCGCGGTGGCAGGCACCTGTAATCCCAACTACTCGAGAGGCTGAGGCAGACTGGGAGGCAGAGGGACTCCGCCTGAAAAAACACCACAAAATCTCACCCTGGCTGTAGTGCAGTGGCGTAATTATAGTGATCATAGCTCACCGCAACCTCCACCTTTCAGGTTCAAGCGAGTCTCATGCCTCAGCCTCCCAAGTAGCTGGAATTACAGGCATGTACCACCACACCCGGCTAATTTTTGTATTTTTAGTAGAGACAGGGTTTCACCATGTTGGCCAGGCTGGTCTCAAACTCCTGGCCTCAAAGGATCCATCTGCCTTGGCCTCCCAAAGTGGGGAGATTACAGACATGAACCACCAGCCTCCAGGGGTTGTTTGAATGAAAAAAAAAAGGGGGGTATTCCTTGAGGAGCTGAGATTTGAACCTAGGTCTGCTGGGCTCCACCTGAGCCGTTTCCACTTCCTCCACCTGCTGTTGGTCTCCCTCCCCTAGAGATACCTAGGTGTGCAGGCTGAAAAGCTGGGCAAGGCAGCAGGCAAGCTGATTTAGAATCCTTCCCCTCCCCTCCTCTTTCCTTTTCCAGAAGCCAAGGAGAAATATGAAAACTCAAATGTGCCCTGAACCAGTCTCAACCCTGAAGTTAAGGAATGCAAAAGGTGAGGAGTCACCATAGTAACCACAGTGCCAGGTGTGTTGGTGAATACTTGGTTTCTGCAGCATTGGCAGGCAAGGCCTGCCCAGTGCCTGTCTGAGGGTTTGTGCTATTTGGCTACAGGGGAGAAGCATTTCATTCATTTCTCTTAATGGGACATTATGGGAGACTTTTGCTTTTCATTGCCTCCATTTTCTTATAAGTGGAAGGGGAGGGAAAAAAAAAAAAAAAACATTTTCCTTCCCTTCCCACTCATTCAGAGAAATGCCCGAAAAATACCAGCATTCCCATCAGAGTCTCTGCTGCCGCTGGTCATGAAACCCCATCATCACTTAAATTGCTCTATTTTAAAGGTTTGTGAAAACTGCACCAAATTGCTTTTTCCCATATCACTTCTATCTGTTATTTCTGTGGTCTCTCTTCTTCATTGCTACATTTCCCTGGAGCGGGGGAGCAAATCTATATGGAAACTTGAGGTACTCTTATGTGGTTTGGGAACCAAAAAATAAAAGTGTTTTAGAGGCTATCAGAGTGTTGTCTTTCTGTTACTTACTCATAGACTTATGTATTTATTTTTACCCTAGGTCTGTTGAAAAGGATTTGGCTCACAGATTCTGAACTTAATTTAGCTTCAGGCCTTAATCACCATTGAGCAGAGAATTTTATAATCACAGGGATGGAAAGAGTCTTAGATGTCATCTGGCTCAGAAATCCCCAGACTTTTGGAGGTCATCAACAGTTAAAAGTTTTAAAAATGAGGAAGGAGACCCAGATATGGTTGCTAGCTTTCAGTTTGGCTAAATAAGAACATTAAAAAAACAACTGTCATATACTGCCACCACTGCTTCACAAAAGAAAGCACATTTTAATATGAAAAAAGGTAGGAAGGAATGGTATATCTTCTTAGAATTAAAGACTGTTCCTTAAACATACATTTAATAAATAATTCACTCTTTTATACATTTTTTTTTTCCTTTTTCCACATGCTACCACCAGTCTGAGAGTAGATGTTTGAGAACCATCGATCTTGTTTACTATCCTTGCCACTATTTCTTGGAGATGGTATCTTGGTCTCTGCTTGGATACCTTTTATAGCTGGGGCACTCACTACCTTCCTTCTTTGGATAATTCAAGCTGTTGCTTCTTTCTCGTAGCCCTGTCCTTTCCTTTTCTTCTTCAGGACGGTTAGATGTCTCTTTTATGTATTCCCTTATTTCCCTTGCAGTTACTACTTTCTTTTAATTAATTAATTAGTTAATTAATTTATTTATTTCAGAGATGGAGTCTTGCCCTGTCACCCAGGCTGGAGTACAGTGGTACAATCATAGCTCATTGCAGTCTCCATCTCCTGGACTCAAGCAATCCTCCCACCTCCACTTCCTAAGCAGCTGAGACCAAGGTGTGAGCCACAGCACTTGGCTAGTTAGCATTCTTGTAGTACTCATCTCTTGATGTTATAATGGCTGGTTGAGACATCCATCAGTTTCTAGACTGTCATCTTCTTGAGGGCAGGGTCTATGTCTCTTCACTGTTGGATCCTCAGACCTATTATATTGCAGAAGCTCATCAGTTGTTGACTGAAGGAATGAGCTATTCTCTGGATTAATGATATCATGAAACAATGGTAACAATGGCCATGAAATTGATAATTGTTTCATGTGTGCTATATACTAAGCATTTTATGCAAATTTGATCAGGAACAGGCTTTTATGTCAGGACATTTGGAATAAGATGAAAATTATAGTTGATGAAGCATATTGTTTTAAAAGGAAGTTTCTCTGGTAATTTATCCTACAGAATTCCCCTAAAAGTGCTCCAAGATGTATCAAGATATATATGCAAAAATGTCTGCCGCAGTACTGCTTCTAATAGCCAAAAGTTGGAAACAACCTAAATATTTACCAATAGGGAATCTGTGAAATAAATTATAGTTCAGTTGGCTGGGCACAGTGCTCACACCTATAATCCCAGCACTTTGGGAGGCTGAGGTGGGCGGATCACGAGGTCAGGAGTTTGAGACCAGCCTTGCCAACATGGTGAAACCCTGTCTCTACTAAAAATACAAAAATTAGCCGGGCGTGGTGGCACGCACCTGTATTCCCACCTACTCGGGAGGCTGAGGCAGGAGAATTGCTTGAACTCAGGAGGCAGAGGTTGCAGTGAGCTGAGATTGAGCCATTGCACTCCAGCCCGGGTGACAGAGCAAGATTCCCTCTTGGAAAAAAAAATATATATAGTTCAGTCATACTGTGTAAGTAGCCTTTGAAAAAAACAAGGTAGATCTAAATGTACTGACATGGAAAACTGTCCAAGATATATTATTAAAGGAAATAATTCTATTTCTGTTAAAAACACATACATATAAACACACAGAAAAATATGAATGTACAGAAAAAAATCAGGAAGGGCAATATAATCCAAATTGTTAATAGTGGTTCTTTTTCTGGGTAGCATTGCAGGAGACTTTTGATTTATTAAGCATCCATCTCTGTAATTTAAAAAATGTGTATGAAGCATGTCTTTTTAGCAGCCTTATTAAAGTATAATTAAAATATCATAAAATGCATATATCATTTTTAAAGTAGTGGGGACAGATTTTATTTATTTATTCATTCATTCATTCCTTCATTTATTTAAGACAGAGTCTTGCTCTGTTGCCTAGGCTAGAATGCAGTGGCGTGACCTTGGCTCACTGCAACCTCCAGGTTCAAGCAATTCTCGTGCCTCAGCCTTCCAAGAGGCTGGGATTACAGGAATGAGCCACCATGTCCGGCTGATTTTTGTATTTTTAGTAGAGACGGGGTTTTGCCATGTTGGCCAGGCTGGTCTCCAACTCCTGGCCTCAAGCAATCTGCCCACCCCGGTTGCCCAAGGTGCTAGGATTACAGGCATGAGCCACCATGCTCAGCCAGGGTCAGATTTTTAAAAACACAAATAGGCTGGGTGCTGTGGCTCATGCCTGTAATCCCAACACTTTGGGAGGCCAAGGTGGGTGGATCACCTGAGGTCAGGAGTTCAAGACCAGCCTGGCCATTATGGTGAAACCCCATCTTTAAAAAAAACAAAACAAAAGCACAAATAGAAGAAATGATTTCTTTTTTTTTCTTTTTTTGAGTTGGAGTCTCACTCTGTTGCCCAGGCTGGAGTGCAGTGTTGCAATCTTGGCTCATTGCAACCTCCACCTCCCAGGTTCAAGTGATTCTCCTGCCTCAGCCTCCAGAATAGCTGGGACTACAGGTACATGCCACCACACCTGGCTAATTTTTTAATAGAGATGGGGTTTCACTATGTCAGCCAAGCTGATATTGAACTTCTGACCTCAGATGATCCGCCTGCCTCGGCCTTCCAGAGTGCTGGGATTACAGGCATGAGCCACCACACCTGGCCTTTTTTTTCTTTTTCTGAGACTCCGTCTCTGTCACCCAGGCTGGAGTGCAGTTGCACTATCTCAGCTCACTGAAACCTCTGCCTCCCTGGTTTAAGCAATTCTCTGCCTCGGCCTCCCTAGTAGCTGGGATTACAGGCGCCTGCCAGCATGACCAGCTCATTTTTGTATTTTTAGTAGAGATAGGGTTTCACCATCTTGGCCAGGCTGTTCTTGAACTCCTGACTTCATGATCCACCTGCTTCAGCTCAGCCTCCCAAAGTGCTGGAATTACAGGCGTGTTAAAAAAAAAAAAAAAAAAAAAAAAAAGGCTAACGCCCTTTTCAGCCCTAACCCACCTGTACCCAGGGGAATAAAAAAAAAAAAAAAAAAAGAATTACAGGCGTGACCCACCATGCCTGGCCAGAAGGAAAGGTTTCTATGCAAGCACAGTGGCTCATACCTGTAATCCCAGCACTTTGAGAGGCTGAGGAGGATCACCTGAGCCCAGGAGTTCAAGAAGGAAAGGTTTCTGACATTGAGGCTAATCTCATCTTTTGTCCCTTTGCCTGCCCTTCTGTTTCCTTTCCCATAATGGTTTTCCCCTAGCCCCTTCTCAGACCCTCAATATCTCTGAGTGGTCTAAAAACTCTTTTTCTTTATATGTGCCTATAAAAGGAGGGGTTCCACTAGATGACTTCTAAGGTCTTTTCAGATACTAATTGGGGTGAGTTGATAGTCCTGGTCTCTCTCCTACTAAAACTCGTTCTTAAGAAGGATTGGGAATCCACTGGGCTTAAAATAAATAAATAAATAAAAGGAAGGATCTGGTAATTTTTTTTTTTGTACTATTAGTAGAGATGAGGTTTCACCACATTGGCCAGACTGGTTGGTCTCAAACTCCTGACCTCTGATGATCCGCCCATCTCAGCCTCCCAAAGTGCTGGGATTACAGGCGTAACCCACCACGCCCAGCCATGACCTGGTAATGTCATTCTTATTACATGAAAATAGTTGATGAGGCCCAGTTTATTTTTCTCTTGTGATGTTTGCATTTTAACAAAAGATGAACTATCATTTTTGGCTTCAAACCAAGAAGGAAACCTCCAACTGTGCAGTTTCTACACATATAGGGGGAAGGGATATGTGTGAGTGGGCAGGACAACATTTTTGGCATCGTTGAAAACACAGTAGCAGATAAGTTAGGATCATTGATGTGGAGACGGGTACTCGAGGTTGTCACTAGGTAAAATGGCACCCACTATGGGTGGGAAAGTCAAGATTCTGGCCATAGCACTTGGCAGAATTAAGAAAACTGTGGCAGGCGCTGTGGCATGTGCCTGCAGTCCCAGCTATTCGGGAGGCTGAGGTGCGAGGATCGCTTCCAGACCCTGTCTCTAAAAAAAATTAAAAAGAAAGAAAGCTGTGCACCATTGGGGAAGGAGTCCTCTCACTTTCACATGTGACCTTGATTGCCCTGTTTAAGCTAGTACTTTGAAGTTTCAGTGTGTAGAAACATTATCACTGGTCAGATAGCATATATTAAACATTTATACAGGCGCAGATAATCTAAGTCACTCGGAAAGAGGTTGACATAATGAAAAGAGTTCACACTGTTAGAACAACATCCAGAATGTGGTAGATTGTAACCACATTCTTATTAGGACAGGCAGACACACAGTGGTTGAGGAAGTGGGGCCCTGGAAAAATATTTCAAATCCTCCTGGCTCTATCATATACTACCAGTTGGGTGTTGGGTGACCTTGGTCAAATGGTTTCACTGTTGTTTATCTCAGTTTCTCCATGAAATGGGGATAATAGAGTAATAATAGGAATAGTAATGTAAAATGGAGATAACAAGAATTCCCACCCTTTAGGATTATGAAAGTTAAATTAGTTAATACATATCAAGTGCTTAGAATAGTGCCTGGCACATAGTAAATGCTCAATAAATGTCAGCTGTGAACATCGTTACCTCCTAATCCCTTTGTTGTGTAGGAAGACTTGTTGCTTCACTTCCAACAGCTCTAGTTTCAGTTATTAATAAATCCTTTTTATTTTCCAACTGCCAAATGGGGAAACTGAGTCACAGGGTATCAGGAAATGCTGTGAATGGAAGCCAGAAGGCAGGGCAGCGCCAGACACTCAAGCGCAGTAGGCCCTCCGTATTCCTGAATTCAACCAACCAGAGATCAAAAATATTCAGGAAAAAAAAAGCATCTGCACTAAACATGTACATTTTTCTTGTCATTATTTCCTAAACAATACAACTACATAGCATTTACACTGTATTATGTGTAAGTAATCTAGAGATGATTTAAAGTATACGAGAGCATATGTTTAGGTTATATGCAAATATATACCATTTTATATATATTTTTTAGTTTTTTTTTTTTTTTTTTTGAGACGGAGTTTCACTCATGTTACCCAGGCTGGAGTGCAATGGCACGATCTCGGCTCACCGCAACCTCCGCCTCCTGGGTTCAGGCAATTCTCCTGCCTCAGCCTCCTGAGTAGCTGGGATTACAGGCACGCACCACCATGCCCAGCTAATTTTTTGTATTTTTGGTAGAGACGGGGTTTCACCATGTTGACCAGGATGGTCTCGATCTCTTGACCTCGTGATTCACCCGCCTCGGCCTCCCAAAGTGCTGGGATTACAGGCTTGAGCCACCGCGCCCGGCTATATTTTTTAGTTTTTAGACAGAGTCTAGCTCTGTCGCCCAGGCTGGAGTGCAGTGGTGTGATCTCTGCTCACTGCAACCTCCGCCTCCTGGGTTCAAGGGAAGATTCTAGTGCCTCAGCCTCCCAAGTAGCTGGGATTACAGGTGCCCGTCACCATGCCTGGCTAATTTTGGTATTATTATTATTTTTTTAGTAGACACTGGGGTTTCATCATGTTGGCCAGGCTAGTCTCCAACTCCTGACCTCAAGTGATTCTCCCGCCTCAGACCCCAAAGTGCTGGAATTACAGACGTAAGCCACCGCGCCAGGCCCATTTTATAACAGGGACTTGAGCATCCGCAGACTTTGGGATCCGCAGGGGTCTTGAAACCAACCAATCCTCCACGGATAGGGAACGACGTAGGGTCCCCCGGCTGATGCTCAGTGCGGCCCAGAGCAGCTCCCTGTCCCGGGCAGGCTTCAGTTGCCCCATGTGAAAGATGAACTAAGGAGGCTGAGCCAAGTTTCTCAACTTTTCCCTCTCCCTGGTTGCCAGTTCCCGAAGTCGTTTTCTTCTCTGACCGAAATCCAGTCCCACTTGACGACCGTGGAGCTGGGGATCCTGTCTGTGGATCCGCCCAGGGAAGGATCCCGCAGAGGCCGCCGCATTCCCATCTACTCAGGCCCCAGCCGAAGCTTTCCAGGCATCGGGACTGCTAGCCCTCCGCCCGCGGACCCACGCGGACCTTCTCCCGGAATTCACGGCCCCCACTCTCTCCCCTCCCCTAAAAGTGGACACAGTGGAAGCTCTAGTGCCCGGGGAGGCCGAAGAGAGCGAACAGCAGAGGCTCAGGGTACAAGTCTGGGGCTTCCTGCAGTAGCGGAAAGGCCAGGGGCGGGGGATTCCTGCAAACAGCTGGAGCCGGGGCCCTGCCCCCTCCGCCCCGCCCCAGTAAGAGAGGGCTGTAAAATTCCGGAAGAGAGATTAGAGGCAGGGGATGGGTGGGGCGGTGAATAGTACATTCCTCCCTCCCCTTGCCTCCTCCTACCCGATTATCACTGCGGGAGGGTTGAGTCGTCTCTCGACCTTCTCAAGGCCGGTGCACTGGCAGCTTCCAGACAGGGGGCTTGAAACCTCCCACGCTCTTCTGAGCTTTGTGGGGCCTGGATTGCTTATTTCACAGCTCGTGACCCCATCTGGTTTCGGGCTTGGAAATTTTGGTTGCTCCTTGCAACTGGGTCTTTTCCGTAAGAGTGCTTCACAGGCCTGTCTCTGCATTTGTTAGTAGTTCCTATGTATTGAGAGAACTTTGCAATGGAGGCATACTTAGCGTTAGAGGGAAGGAATCTGAAGGCTTAGAGAGGCAGTGAAACCTCAAGGCCACACAACGGCAGAGCCAGGAATCAACTCAGCTATTGGTTCCACACATTTCCCACCAAATCCTGCGGCTTCCTTTGCTTCAGGTGAAAGGCAAGACTTATTTGTTAGGGGTAGGGAAGCAACATTTATGGACCACCTCTCACCGCGCCAGCTACTTTAAATATATTGTCTTTAATCACTTCATTTGTCACAACACCTCAAGACAGATGTGATCACCATGCCTATATTACAGATGAGGAAAACTTGAGAGGTGAGGCGTTTAAGGGGCAGAGCTGGGATTCCTGTACAGTCATATAGCAAGGCCTGTGCTCTTTCTAAAACTGCAGTTAAGGTCTGCATAGTGCTTGACAGCTTACAAAACAAAGAACATTCAAGCTCTTTATTTTAGAGTTATCATCTTATTTCATAGATGAAGAGAAAGGTTCATTGGTGAAGTTATAACCTCTGTCCAACATCGCAAAGCTAATGGTAAGTTGCAGAATCTGTAATTTTGAAATAAACTGCAGAGCTGGTGGTATCGAAGCTCATTCCATTTATTCATTGCACAGTGCCAAGTACCAACCTAATAATAGTACTAGCTAACATTTATTGATACTTAACATGTGTTCAGTACATGAGTTAAGCACACTAACTCCTTTGTTCCTCAAAAATCCTTTTTTTTTTTTTTTGATGTTTAGCTTTCCATTTTACAGATGGGAAAATAGAGACTCAGGTAGATGAAATAACTCCCCAAGTCTACACGACAACTAAATGGCAATGCAAAGATGCCAGATGAAGTAGTGTAGAATCCCAGGGTGGGAACCAGTCACCTGTTCCCAACCTCTGTCTAAATCACTTTGCTGAGAGCTTCAGTTTCTTTTTTTTTTTTTTTTTTTTTGAGACAGACTTTGGCTCTTGTTACCTAGGCTGGAGTGCAATGGCGCGATCTCGGCTCACCGCAACCTCCGCCTCCTGGGTTCAGGCAATTCTCCTGCCTCAGCCTCCTGAGTAGCTGGGATTACAGGCACATGCCACCATGCCCAGCTGATTTTTTGTATTTTTTTTTTTTGTAGAGACGGGGTTTCACCATGTTGACGAGGATGGTCTCGATCTCTTGACCTCGTGATCCACCCGCCTTGGCCTCCCAAAGTGCTGGGATTACAGGCGTGAGCCACCGCGCCAGCGAGAGCTTCAGTTTCTTTGCCACACAACCATTACTTGTTTTTCTAACCTCTGTGTGTGGTGGGGCCACATAGCTCCTGCTCTCAAGGAGCTAATGCTCTGTAAAATCAGCCAAGAGTACTGCCAGCTTGCCCCACAGGAGCACTGGGAAGATTAATCAGCGAATGGCACTTGGAATGCTTCAGCCAAAGCACTGGATAAACTCAGGGCACTTATGTGTGAAACTCACTGCCAGGGGTAGTTCCTGCTGTAATAAGGCACTTGCAGCCCAGTTCCTGATCTGTTTGAGGTGTGGAGGGAGTAAAACCAGTCATAGCCTTCCGCAGGAGGCCATTTGGATGTTAGGAGTTAGAGCATCTCTCCACTGTCCTGGGGGCAAGGGAAAGTGGCAGTGGTGTCATGGTCTAGGACCTTTCCCTCTGAGAGGCAGATTTCTTTTCAGCATTTTGCAAGGGTTTCCAGCTTACTCTGAGGACACCAGTTATTGACTGAAGTCAGAAATAAATAACATGATTATTTGGGCTTCAGAGGCAGACAAACCTGGGTTGAATCCTGTTTCTGTCATTTTGTCTCTCTGAGCCTCCGTTCCCTTTCTTAATGGGGGTAACAATACCTTCCTAATAGGGTCATTTTGAAGCATTAAACTTGATAATATATTTCATTTTATGATTTATTTATTTATTAATTTTTGAGATGGAGTTTTGCTCTTGTTGCCCAGGCTAGAGTGCAATGGGGCAATCTTGGCTCACTGCAACCTCTACCTCCTGGGTTCAAGTGATTCTCCTGCCTCAGCCTCTTGAGTACCTGGGATTATAGACACCTGCCACACTGGGCTAATTTTTGTATTTTTAGTAGAGATGGGGATTTCACTATGTTGGCCAGGCTGGTCTTGAACTTGTGACCTCAGGTGATCCAACCTCCTTGGCCTCCCAAAGTGCTGGGATTACAGGCTTGATACTGTACTGGGCCTTGATAACATATTTTAAAACATTTCAATCAGGACTTGGAAAAGAGTAGATGCTTAATAAAAGATAACTATGGCTGGGTGTGGTGGTTCAAGCTTATAACCCTAACATTTTGGGAGGCCAAGGTAGGAAGATTGCTTGAGGCCAGGAGTTCAGGACCAGCCTGGGCAACATGGCAAAACCTCCATCTCTACAAAAATAAAAAAACATGCTGGGCGCAGTGGCTCACACCTGTAATCTCAGCACTTTAGGAGGCTGAGGCAGGGGGATCACAAGGTCAGGAGTTCGAGACCAGCCTGACCAACATGGTGAAACCCTGTTTCTACTAAAAATACAAAAACTAGCTGGGTATGGTGGCGTGCGCTTGTAATCTCAGCTACTTAGGAGGCTGAGGCAGGAGAATCACTTGAACCTGGAAGGTGGAGGTTGCAGCCTGGGCAACAGAAGGAGACTCTGTCTCAAAAAAAAAAAAAAAGTAAATAAAATACATAAAAATAAATGAATAAACAATTAGCTGGGCATGGTGGCATGGGCCTGTGGTCCCACCTACTTGGGAGGCTGAAGCAGGAGGATTGCTTGAGCCCAAGAGGTTGAGGCTGCAGTAAGTCGTGTTTACCCTACTGCATTCTCTCCTGGGTGACAAACTGAGACCATGTCTCAAAAAAAAAAAAAGCAAAAAAACCAAAAGGTAACTGTTATTGGAGACTTATTTATTTATTTATTTTTTGAGACAGAGTCTTGCTCTGTCTCCCAGGCTGGAGTGCAGTGGTTCGATCTTGGCTCACTGCAACCTCCGCCTTCCGGGTTCAAGTGATTCTCCTGCCTCAGCCTCCCAAGTAGCTGGGACTACAGGTGTGTGCCACCATGCCCTGCTGATTTGTTTTTTTTTTTTTTTTTTTTTTTTTTTTTTTCAGTAGAGACGGGATGTTTTGCCATGTTAGCCAGGATGGTCTTGATCTCCTGACCTCGTGATCCACCTGCCTTGGCCTGCCAAAGTGCTGGGATTACAGGCCTGGAGCCATTATTTTAAACCTTATGTTGTTAATGTTGTTATTACATTACTTTATTTCAGGGCTAGAAACAGAGCTAGGTGGAGGGAAGTGTCATTCACTTGCTCAAACAATCTACGAGATTAAAACAAACAAAGAAACAATCTGCTAGGTTGCCCACAATAGATCCATTTAAGCAGAGGAGAATCTGAAAATAGGCAATTACAATATCGTGTTAAGTGCTATGGTAGAGGATTGCATAAGGTGTTTTGCAATTTTATCAGAAGAATCAATAATCCATAGACACAGCAAAAGTTTTGCACAGGAGGTAGCTTTTTGTTTCAAATCAGTCAGTGTTTCCAGGAAGTAGAAAATGCTGCTTGCTGGAGGCAGGCAGAACGCAAGTGATAGCTCAGACTGTGCTCCTCACGCAAGGACGTTGCTACTGATCTGCAGCCCCTCTTGCTCCTCAAGGCCTCTCACCTCCCACACAGCTCTGCCAGCCAGCCTTGCCCCAGAATACCCTCTCCTGGGCCACCTGATGGTGCTGAACATCCTGGATTCTGTGCTGTGGCTTGATGCAGCTGAGTCATAAGACCTTTCTTTTTTCTGTTAAGCTCTAATGGAAGCCTTCTGGTCAGAAGCAATGCCCCAAGTCTACCTTGCAGGGAAGGTCTAATGATGACAGACCACTGCTTCTCCCTGCAGGGCTGGATGAACTTGGATGTGGTGGTGAGATGGAGGAGAAGCACCCAAAGGACAGCTTCATTTGTTTCTAGATAGGTGCCAGTTCTGGGCAGGCAAGACTTCCCAGGGGTGGACAGAAAGAGCAGACTCTCCCCAACCCACAACTCGCAGGAGGAGACGGGGAGCATCCCCCTTCCTATCAAGCCGGCCTCCAATGCTGTGCTTTGCCTGCCATCTGGCCGTGGCCCAAACCAGCCTCCCAGCTCACTGGTGACCACATTTTCCAAACCAAAACTCAGGACACATGATCTGGCAAAGAATTTCTGGCTACCTTCCAAATGCAAGAGGCAAAAATCTTTCCATTTGAGAATCTCTACTATAATCTGGGTCGTTAAAGGTGACCTTAGGTTGGAAACCTTGAAATTCAGGGTCTCCTCTTTCTGAAGCATTTTTTCTTTTCTTTCTTTCTTTTTTTCCATTTGAGATGGAATCTTGCTCTGTCGCCCAGGCTGGAGTGCAGTGGCCTGATCTTGGCTCATTGCAACCTCTGCCTCCCGGGTTCAAGCGATTTTCCTGTCTCAGCCTCCCGAGTAGCTGGAATTACAGGCGTGCGCCCGCCACTCTCGGCTAATTTTTGTATTTTTAGTAGAGACATGGTTTCCCCATGTTGGTCATACTGGTCTTAAACTCTGAGCTTGTGATCTGCCCACCTCGGCCTCCCAAAGTGCTGGGATTACAGGTGTGAGCCACCACTCCCGGCCTTTCTCAAGCGTTTTCACGTCGACCCTGAAAGAGCTCATGAGGTAGCTGATTATTTCCATTCAATAGTTGATAATACTTGGAGAGAGGGAATCACTTGTCCGCGATCCTGTATCCTGAAAGTCTGAATTCTGGCTTGTCAGGGACCGTTCTTAGGTTGTGTGTGTGTCTTGTGGGCAGAGTGGCGTAGAAATATCCTTCGCGAAGATGCACACGCCATTTATTTGGGGCCTCCAGGAAGAGCAGCCAAGAACTGAGCTGCCCAGGTTCCTACTTCTGAGTTGGAAATCCCCAAGCACAGTACTCGGTGGCCGCCCGGTCCCATCAGGATCTGGCCCCAGGCCCGAAGGCCTGGGAGCGGGAAAGAGCCCTTCGACCTTGTGGGTCACACCTCGGCTACTGGCCCTGGACCCAGCCCAGGTGCGGATGGGCGGGGCGGAGCGTGGGCGAGCGACTCCCCGGGCCACGTTCTGTCCTCCGTAGCCGGGAGTGCTGAGCGGAACGAACCACAAGGAGGAGGAGCGGGGGAGGTGCCCAGGGCAGTGGGTCAGCGCCCCGAGGGCAGGTGGGCGGGCCCAACCGCCCGCGAGCCGGAGGGCCAGCCAGTCAACAAGCGCGGAGGGCGGGCCGGCGGCCCCGCGCGCCGCGCCCCGCAGCGCCCCCTGAGGGGCGGCGGCGGGAGCTGGTTCCGGCTGCGCGCGCAGCGTTGGTGGCGGCGGCGGCGCTATCGGCCGGGCTGTAACCGTCGTCCGTCCAGGAGCGGCTGGAGCGGCAGCGGCGGCCGGGCACGGCGCGAGGCGACGCCACAGGGCAGCGGTGGCAGCGGGG